GGGGGGGGCGAGGGAGAGGGCGGGATTGACGGGAGGGACGGATAAGCATGTGGACGTATTTGTGAGGCCGATCGATTGCACGGATTTGGTGGGGAGTCCTGCCTAATTATGATGCGGATTGACAGCAGGGAAAACAATTCGATGAGGCCGAAGCTGGGGCTGGCAATCTGGGTTGCACAGTGTGGCTGAGGTCCCATGACAGGGGTGGCCGGGCTGAGCCCCAGCAGAACAAGTTCACGTCTTTGAAGCTCACCTGTGGACGAGAGCAGCTGCAGAATGCAAGGCGGCAGGGTCGCCGAGTTGTTGAACTCGCAGCTGCCGAGGCTGGCCAGGCTCGCAAGGCTGACGCCTGCGCTGACCAGGCTGCAAGGATTTGGGGAGGGATGCAGGAGCGACGGCGTGGAGTTGGATGGTAGCTTGCATTGAGGCAGGTTTGGATTGAGGCTCGTCGTGGATGACACGGGGCCGGTTGCTATGTAGTAAGCAAGGCAATGTCAGAGTTCAGGATGCAACGAAATTCAGGGATGTCGTGCGCTGGTGAAGTTGCTCTAGGTGTGAGGCGGAAGCTACTGTCACATGTGGCAGGGGGAGCTGCTCCCATAGGGACCTACGCACCCAGAGCTGTAGGCGACGCCGCAGGCAGAGATGACGCCTGAAGCCTTGTCGACGGGGTAGGAGGCGGTGTCAGCCGGGTTGATGGTCAAGTTGGCCGCCGTGAAGGCGGGCAGGAAGGCGGCGATGAGGGAGCAGGTGCAGTTGGCGCAGAACGTCTCCGGGCCGGCGGCTGCGGGGAGCGGGTGGGGTGGGACAGGGTGGGCGGTGGGTCGAGGCGAGGGTCAGTGCGTCCTGGCGTGCACATATGCTGGCACTCATATACTGGGGGCTGCGAACGAAGCAGTACTGCGCATGTAACTACTAAAGCATCCCTTTTGCGGGTCACTGGCAATGACGCAGCCCCACGCAATGTTCGAGGCGTTGCCTCGGACGGCGCAGCTGCAGCCCCGCCGCGCTCTAAGGCAATTGCACCCTCTTGTGCGCACCACAGCCAGTCTTCACCCCGGAAAAGTCCAGTGGGGTGGTGGCAGGTGATATGGGGCAGTCTTGAGCCGCCACGAGGGCGACTGAAGCCGCGAGGGCCACGAACAAGGCAGCGAGGCGAGCCATGGTTCGTGGTGGAACGGGGTTTATCGAACGGTTTGCAGTGTAATGTGATACTTTCTTGACAAAAAAGTATTCGTTGTTGGGTCACGCACAGCCACAAGGCTTGTATGTGGCAGCTGGCTGGCAGCTCAACCAGCGCCCTTTCTTCGCGCTGGTGCGCCGCACACGCCTCGAGACGTGCAGCGGGGCCACTCGCATACGGCGTCGTTCTTCAAGCACAAGGTTCTGGCTGTACAAGTGAGCTGCTTCTAACCAGTCCAGTCCCAGACATTGGGACGCGGACCTGCGGAACAGCACCTGGTAAGCGGTGGCAGTCACTTGGCGCGCCACCTGCCTGCTGGCTGGCCCTAGGCAGTCGCCTCAATGCCGATGAAAAAGGTATCTGCAAGGGGACCCACAACATCAAGAGGTTTCCCCCACCGCTTTCTTATTGACTCAAGTCTCAACCAGCACGCTCAGCTGCTGCTGGTATCGTCCCTGAAGCCACAGCTGTCAGACAGTGCATGAGCAGCAGCTTCCGGTCACCTGCAATCCATCAGTGTTCAAAATTAACAGGCAGGAATGGCCCGCTTGCAAGAAAGCAGCACAACACTGGATCACACAAAGCCACTTTTGGGAATTGAAACTTGTCCAACTGTTTACGTAGAAACAGCAGACCCCCCGAGCGCCCGGCGTGAGCACAGCCCTGGCCCCTGGGCCGTGACGCGGCTGAACGAGTCCAATCCTGAGCTGCGCCTGATGCTGCCGCGCATCTGTACGCCCGCTTCGCTTGCTGTTGTGCGGCTGCCTCAATCAACATTGCTGAAGTAAGTGCTGGGCTGCATTTCTGCCACACATACACACAAACACACTCGAACACACACAGGTGTGTTCACGCACGCTGGCACGCACGCACGCACGCACGCACGCACGCACGCACGCACAGGCAACTGCACCCTGTTATGTGCGCTGCTTCCATTGTTGTATAAAATGCTTCGCAACACCATGCTTCAGCTGCCCGTGCAAGCTGGCCCGAACACTCTCAGCATATCGGCACTTCATTCTGAGCAGGATGCGGTGACCGAGAAACATGCGCCGTGTCCGGCATCCAGGAGTGGCGTACAAACAGGGTAGTGGTGATTGACATCCTCACTACTACGCCCTCCATTTTTTGAGCTTACTGATAGCTGCTGCACAAGCCGTCCTGTATTTACCCAGTATCAATTTGAACGCAGATCATTGTGATCTCTTGTACGCAGCTCTATATATAGTCATACCATAGTTCTCGGTTTTAGCCCGACTTCTTGACTCGTCTACCGCAAGATTTCGGGCAGCTCATCACCTCGGGATACTGCGCCGCCCAGCCCTGTGACACGGCCCGCTACAGCAACACCACCTCACTGCTGCTGTGCTCTCTGCTGTACAGCTGAGCAGCCTGACAGCTCGGCATATGAACCATGGCCGTCAACGCAGCGCTGAAAAGTATCTTGGATCTTCCGGCGGACGCGCAGAGGGTGGAGGCATACTCCCGACAGCCGTCAGCAGCGATGACGCAGCTGCATGAGGCGGCGACAGCACACCCCGACGAGCAGCTGTCCCCTGACAACCTACGGGTGCGGTTGGAGCTTGCTGCTTGCTTGATATTGCAGCCGGCCTGACCCTGGCGTGTATAATGGAATCCTCCAGTTTCTCGGTCGGCTGGGCATGAGGTCATCAGGTGTCGACAACCATCGCAAGAGCGCCGCACCCTGCGTGGGCGCCACCCCTGTGCTCTATAAAATGTCTGCGTGCGCACGCAGGCCTTGACGGACCTCGTTTCGACCACCGACGTCACGGGCCGGCTGCTCTGCGCGGCCAATGCGATCGCCGCGCTGTACCCTCAGGGCGGCCACCTGCAGCCGCCGCGCGCACGCACGCTGCAGCTGGCGCGCAGCGGCCGCCTCATCTCGGCGCTCGTGGCGGTGCATGACCCAGACCACCCTATATCAATCGACTGGCCACAGAGAATTCCGCTTGCAAACGCCCTGAACGATCTGATGGAGGCGTCTCCCGATGCAGTGGCCCTCGCGACCGCGCCCCTCGGCGGCCCCGACCGCCGCGCCAGCGGCGGCGGTGGCGGCGGCGAGGGCGGCGTCGCTGCGCTCTACCTTCTCGGCCTGCAGGCCTGCTCCCACCTCATTGCGGGGGCGGATGGCACCGAACCCGACGATGCGTTTGAGGCAGCTGCATGGTATGCAGCTTCAGCAATGATTGGGCTCTGGGCGATCTATGAGTGGGAGCCCGGCTGCCTGCCGGGCGCGGCCGCGGCTGCCGCGAGGCGCGCGCCCGGCGGGGCCGAGGGCATGGCGAGGGCGTTCGCACACTTGCTCACGCCGCGGCTGGCGCCCCGCGGCGGCGAGAGCGGCCGCGCCGCCTTCGTCCCTAGGCTGTGTGCTGGAGTGCGGACGATGCTTTGCAGGGTCCTCCCTCTACTGGTTGACGGCGAAGTGATGTCACAAGCCCTGGAAGCCGACGGGCAGCTGCTCGCGGCGCTGGCCGCGCAACTGCCCGGACCGGAGTGGCCGG